TTGAAGAACTTTTCCTTGAAGACATTTATACATTAAATAGGTTTGTTAAATTTTTTTATCATTGCTAATATCTAATAATTTTATTTATTTCTGCTGAATACAGGTTTAGATATTTTCCTAAAAAACCAACACAAAGATCTCGCAAAATTAAACCTGGTGATCCATTCACTGAATTTGTAATTCCTTATGTAAAGTAAGTATGCATGTAAAATATATATTAAGATATATTTATGTATATATTGTAAACAAATAATCAATGTTAATATTCAAATAATAAAATCTTTTGTAGTGAAATGAGGAGATTCAAAAAATATCCTTTTGCAATATTAAATTGGTTGGAAAATCCAATGTCTGAAGATACAGATTACGAATTGATTTTAGAACTCATATATTACATTTGTAATAATAAAGATGATGGTGCAATACTTGTGTTTCTTTCTGGATGGGATCAAATATCAAAACTGACTAAAATTTTAAAAGATAAAGGCTTTGGAAATACATGTAAAGTATATTGTATAAATGTAGAATTTCATAAATATGTTGATATCCGTTTATAAATATGATTTTTTTATTTTGTAGCTCGGTACATACTGATTCCTTTGCATTCCATGTTACCTACTGTATCTCAAAAATCTGTTTTTGAATCGCCGCCTCGGGGTAAGCATTAAATATTAAAATTCTTTAAATGCATTTTTATCTAATGATAGCATTATAATAGGTGTTCGTAAGATCATATTATCCACAAACATAGCAGAGACTTCAGTAACTATAGACGATGTAGTTTATGTTATTAATAATGGCCGGATGAAATTAAAAGGATTCGATGCAGAAAATAACATTGGAACTCTTAATGAAGAATGGGTGAGCTTAGCTAATTCTAGACAACGTCGGGGCAGAGCAGGTCGTGTAAGACCTGGTATTTGTTATCATTTGTATACAAGAGGACGTGAAAGATCATTTAACGATTATGTACTGCCTGAGATGATGCGAACAAGCTTAGAAGAAGTAATACTTCAAGCTAAAATATTACAAGTTGGTATGGTAACCCCGTTCTTGGAGAAAGTTATGAATCCACCAGAAACCAAAGCCCTTGAAGTAGCTTTAAAAGTATGTTTGGGTTTATTTTACATTAGTAGATGTACTAAACTATTAATTTATTTTATAGCTATTAATAGACTTGAATGCTTTGGACGAAAAAGAAAATCTCACTCCATTAGGTTTTCATTTAGCAAAATTGCCAATCGGGCCACTTGAAGGTAAAATGATTATTCTGGGTGCAATGTTTAGTTGCCTGAGTCCAATTATGACAATTGCTGCAAGTTTAAATTTTAAAGATCCTTTTGTTATGCCAGTAAGTAATTTATTGATTATATTATTTGGTATTACCTATACTTACATGTTAAAAATATTTTCAATTATACAGGCAAACAAAGAATACCAATGTCGCGAAATAAAAAAAGAAATGGATGAAGGACATCAAAGTGATCATCTTATGGTCACGAGAGCGATGAGCAAATTTTTACTAGCAAAACAAGAGAACAGAGCATGGGATTTTTGCAGAGACAATTTCCTTATGTACAATACAATGAATATGTTGCATGAATTAAAATCTCAATACGCAAAGTATTTGTGTGATCTGGGATTCATTAAAACTTCCAGTTATACCGATTCTGAATACAATCAGAATTCAAACAATGTTAAGCTTTTGAAGTGTGTTCTAGCTGCTGGTTTGTGCCCCAATATTGCTGTTTCTAAGTAAGTAAAAACAATTATTAATAATATTTTTAAAATTTTATATTGTATAACTTTTATAAGATAATAATTATTATTTTAAAGCCCCAAAATTAAAACGAATGGCCGTAAACTTTCAAAATTTATTACTGCCGAAGATGGAAAAGTTGAAATTCATCCCAAATCTGTGAATTCAATTGATAGTTACTATGAAAGTCCTTTATTATTATACCACACAAAACTGAAGACTACTTCAATATTTTTGCACGATACCACTATGATTTATCCATTTCCTGTGGTGCTGTTTGCTAAAAGTCTTAAAACAACGGGTGAAAAAACTGATTATGTTACATTTAGTCTTAACCCTCAAATTAATTTCACTTGTTGTGCAAGAACAGCAAGTTTTATAAAGGTGAATATAAAATTTAAAATTATTAATGATATTGTAGATTTAATGATGTGATTATGTCACATTACTGAATCGTGTTAGATTAATTAGTTTATTATTATTTGGTATTGATTAAAAAACTATTTTTTTTTAAATTTTATTTAATTATGGATTGTTCCATTATATGATTAGGTTGGTCCTAATAATTAAGAGAACACTACACAGACATTTGTTGCCTCTGTCTTACAAATGCGTAATTGCAAATTTTACGCTGATCAGATCACGTTTAGCTCTGTTTGTTTAAAAATTAGAGTGTATTGACCACATATAGAATTAAATTAAATTGGTGATTTTGAGATATTTTACATTTGTAATATTTCATAAATATACTTTTTAAATCCTAAATAATGCCTATCTATTAAAAAAAAAAAAAAAACATTAAAACATATTAAATTCAATATTAATACTATTGTCTCAAGGATAATAATTCCTATATTTCATTTATATTCCCAAATTTTTAAAAGTGGCACATTAAATATATTTTACCTACTTAATATTTCTCTTAACATGGCTTTATATTAACAACAAAAAAATTAATATAATTATTAATTACCATTTATCTTTACATTTTTTAGCAAGTAAGAAATAGATTGAAGTGGTTAATTGACCATTTAATGTCGCATCCTGAAGAAATAAGTTTTAATTCAAATTCAGGCAGTGGAAAAGCGCTCAAGTAAAAATTAAAAAATATTCTACTAATTATATATATAATTAAAGTTTAAATAATTAGTGAAACAATTTTATTGATGAATTATTAAATATTTATTAAGGTACATTTAATAAATATGTACATTTAAAATTAGAAATCAATATAATATATAACAGGTGATCCATTTAAGTGTCTACACTAATTATTATGAAAAATTCTAAATTTTTTGAAATTATTCATTTAGTATATGCATTTAAGGTTTAGATAATTAGATTATATATCTAAAGAACTACTTGTCCGAAATTTTATATTTATAAATAGAAATACTTCAAATAATATAATATTTTAACACGTTAAGTGCCATGCTGCCGCCGGCGGTCATTTGTAAATCTCAAATTTTATGCTTTTGCGACTGCCGCCGATCACAATTGATCATTACTACCAGGCCACATGACCGCCATCGGCCGTAAATGAATATGGTTTTATATTATTAACTTCGCACCAAAAAAGCGCCGTGGTGTAGCTTGAATCATTACAATTTTTTTGATGTAATAAATATATTTTTAAAAAATATTTTTATATTTTTAAACTTATTTCAAATAAATAGTATAATATACAAATTTGGAATGACACTGAAAAATATACTTGGCGTACAGATGATGCATAATGGTGTGACTGCCGGCGGCCGCATGGCACTTAACGTGTTAAATTAAAGACATGTGTTTAAAAGTCTTTTATACTTTGTTGAAGATAAGTTAAATATTTTATTTATGATCTAAAATTATTACCCATTTGGATCTTGTTTGAATATTATTTGGCATTTCCCCATATTATTTGAATTAATATATGGTTTTTTAACATTGAACTAAATAGATCAGACATAAATCAAATTTACTATTTTTCTATTTTGCATTAACTATAATTATTTTATTACATTATCTGTATTAAGTGCACGGTTAAAAATATAATTACCTAGCTTACATTATTCTTATTGGATTTAATGATTAATTATTTAATTATGTTATGTTTAAGAAAAAATTATTTTTTCTTGTCGAATAAAAATTTGATTAATTTAATTGTTTTTCATACTTAATTAAGTACTCTGATCAAATATTTTAAACTTTAATTTCTTAATATAATATACATTAAGATAAATCATTTTTAACTCATTCTTAAATATTTTCTGTATATTAATAATAATTTATAATCACTAATCATCATAAATTATTTTTTCAGACTTGTTGTTGATCTCGTTTCTGCAGAAGAACATCCTGGTATTTTAGAATTTCCTTTTATGTTTTAAATTTAACTCGTCAAACATTTTTATTTATTGATATTGTACAATTTATTAAATAACTTATGATATATAATTTTTTTTAAATACATAAATATGTTTTTTAATTAATTACTTATTAAGGGGCCGGTGCCAATGTAATTATTGTCCAAAATCATATTTTATCTAAACAATGTTTCTGTCTTGTAGAATCAATAGCATTTTTTTTTTTTTTATAGTGTTAAATATTTTATATTTAAACATGGATTATATAATTTAATCTATAGTAATCAAATTAAGAATGGTAAATAAATTTTATGTTTACATCTCAATCTGAGAGTATGACATGTTCTTATCCCATAATTCTTATCCCATCTGTTTCCAATTTCCATGGTATTTAAAACTACAGTGAAACTTGTTTGGGGGTTAGTGGTAAATTATTCACATAAAAAATCAATAATCATCAGTTCAATTAAACCAACATAACAATACCAATAGTTACATTGATAATATTTTAGATATTAATTTCATTACACTACTTAATAAAATATAGCAGTGGCGCTAGATGCCTCTTAATGTGATTATAATTTATAATTAACAACTAAACTATAGGTACATTAGTTTTTAGTATTAAATGTGAATGTTTTGATGATTACTGTGTTATTTTAAATACCTACTTTGAAGAAGGGGAAGTTCTAGGACTCAAATATCATACAGGCATAAATATATATTTTTAAATAAGCTATAGCTTACAGGCACTACCCAAACTTCCTAACAACTCCCTAACCCCAAATTTATTTTTGCGTTGTAGTTAAAATATGAATACCAAAAAAATGTAGATTTTCTTAGTTTTTCTAAACAAAATACAATGTGATTTATGTTGAATATATGATATAGGCATGGTTTTACTATCTAGACCTGGAGTCTGTGCCTCGACAAAATATACAACTCCAAATAGGTCGTTAGTAGTCAGTAACGGAAACGTGTCAAAGATAAATGAACAGATAAAAATATTGGAGACTACTGGAGATTTGGAATTGTGTATGTCTTTGACGTCGAACAATTTTCGACCGATGACTGTAAAGATTGGCATAGAGAATGATCCAATTGTGGAAGATTGCGACTCAGAAATGACCCAGCCGACTCTCAAAGGTCTTATTAAACAGGTACTTGCGGTGCACAACAGTTTTACGACTTATTATTGAGACCATCAACAGTATCATAACTTATAAGCAGGGCTAGGATTTATATGCAACAGCATGTTTTTTTGAGGCTTCTGATTATTGATTTTGTCAGTAATATCCACGAATCACCTCATGATGAGATAAATGGTGGTATTTTTATTTTGCATATTTTTGCATATTTTGATTATAAGAATGTGAAAAATGCATGTTTTATAGTAAGTATATTTCATAAAACTTGGTTTTTTTGTCAAACATAAATTTTATTTTTATAAATACAATCCTATGGTACAATAGATATGCGATAAAAGATTGAATAGTTTGACATTCATTTTCGAAAATTTGAAAAAATATGTGGTCGTAGCATGTAACACGTAGTGAATGTGAATTACCTATATATTTTATTTCTAAATTATTTTTTTTTTCTCAATTATATTATGTTAAGACAAACAACACCCAATCACTGATGTATTTCAACAAATAAATATTTTTTTTGTAACTATATTTTTGTGTTTATCTTATAAAAATTAAAATGCATATTTTACCATTTTTTATTGCAAACAAATCCTAGCCCTGCTTATAAGGTATCTAATACTTACGAAATTATGATAATTTCATTTTATTTTATATAAAACCCTACACACAAAATTATATGTACTGTACACTTATAAATATTTTATTGTCTAGTGGAAATTCAGTAAATAATTTAGATTTTTTTTTCTCTATCACTTAATATCTTAATATTTATTATTATAAACTTAAAGCTAGCCGCCGATAATTAAACACGGGTTATTCAATTGGCATATTCATACGGGAAAAAACACGCCTCTGATCGCGGCCGCTCTTGTTTAATTTTCGAGCGGTCGACCGCTTCCGCTCTCTAAAATTAAACAAGGCTTTTTGCCTTTTTCAATAGACCGTTCAGGCGGGCGGTTTGGCCTCCGCGGTTCGCTAGCGGCGGTCTTGTAAAAAACATTTAAAAAATCATGATTGAAGTGTGAACTTGGTAAATTCATTGCTTCAATCCTATATTTTTATTTACAAGTAAAAATTGTATTAATAGTTAAAAATTATTCGATATTGATCGAGTTTTTCTATAAGTCATACTAGAGGTAGGTACTGATATACTTAAAAATTTTCAATAACTCCTGAATAATATTTTTAAAATGCAACAAAATAGGTAACTAAAAAAGTTTTTAAACTTTAAATATCTAATTTCGTCAACTTACTTAAAAATATGTCTATTAAATAAATGTTATTTATGTATTTCTTAGATTTACATTGAAAAATTGAACATTTTTATCAATTTTCAAAGTTTTTGAACGATCGATTGGTACACTCGACACCTACTTTTCCTCTTTTATAAATAAAATATTTCGCCATTTCACTAGCACTGCCACTTTCGAATTTTAATATCAAAAGTTGACAGTATTATGTACTGTTTTATGTACAATTTTGTACAAGCAAAATAAAATTTTGTGCATCCCCCAAACACGAGAAAAACAGTTATTGCCATGCGCGTGCTAGAGAAACGTTTCCCCAGCACTCCCTCGACAAAAAGTTGAACAAATTAAATTTTCAATGGTACAGTATTCAGGACCATTCCTAGGGCCTTACGCCTTAGCCTCAGTGACAGGCCCCACTTTTATAGATACAATAAAAAAGTCTACTTAATGAGCAAAAAAAAAAAAAATGTATCATTTATATTTTATACATTAAATTTTTGTAATTTTTACTAACTATAGGTGAATTAATTTTAAATGTGTTAATGATTAAAATAAAATTTTCAAAGATGAAAATTATAAAAATTACTATATTCGAAACGTTCTGTCCCAAAAGACAAGTTGCTCCTGCAACTTACCTATAATGTCTATAGAATAATATAAATTGCTGACCAACTTTTTTTTTTTTTTTAATATTCAAAAGTAATTAACAATCTGTATCCATACTAGACACAATAAGAAAATATGATAAAGGTTAACATAACATGAGGTTTTATTGAAAGAAGCCACCCATTGATAGCACTATCTACTAACTTGATAATTATTTATTTTTTTATTTTTATTTTTTTTTTTATTTTTTAATTTTAATTTTTTTTTAATTTAATTTAATATATAATATATAATTTAATTTAATTTAAGAGATCTCTACACCACTTACGCTTCAGACGTCTCGGAGGATTTCCAGGTATTGTGGGAGTGGCCAAGTTTTTTATTAATTGATTAGGGTGATTATTTAGACGGTAATAGAATCTTTTGTAAAAGATTTTAGCTTCATCATTTATTTTATTAAGTTTCAAGTCGGTGTGTAGTGTATGATTTGACACGTAAGGTGGAGCATTCGTTAGTTTTCTAAGCACGATATTTTGAAAGGTTTGGATTTTCAAAATATTTGTCTTTTTCGCATTGCCCCAAAGCTGAAGGCCGTAGGTCCATAGTGGTTTCAATAGTGTTTTGTATATAAGAAGTTTAGTTTTAAGAGAGGTGTGATTATTATTGGATAATAAGGGTTTAAGTAATCGGAGACGATGATTCAATGCTAATCTTTTGGTTCTGATATGATGAGCCCACGTTAATCTTTGATCTAACGTAAGGCCGAGGTATTTGATTTTTGGAGAGTAGGGAATTGGAATTCCATATAGGACAACACCAGGACAAGGAGTATGTCTTAGGGTAAAGGTTGTGTGAACGGATTTATTCTGGTTAACTTTAAACCGCCATTTTGTAAACCATTTTTCCATAGCATTAAGGTGAGTTTGAAGATTTATTGACGCTAAGATTGGATTGTTGTTAATGGATATTAGTGCTTTGTCATCAGCAAAGTCAGCTACAGATGTGTTGGGGGTAATAGGTTGATCAGATGCAAATATGTTATAGAGAATTGGAGATAGGATTCCACCTTGAGGCACACCAGCATTTATAGAAGCTAAATCAGATAGAGCGGAACCGTGGCGAACTTGAAAAAATCGATCCGTTAGATAGGATTTGATAAGTAGATAGTAAGTGGGTGGAAGGAATTTCTTAAGTTTATATAAAAGGCCATCGTGCCACACCCTATCGAAGGCTTGTGCGATGTCTAGGAACACACAATTGCAATAAAGTTTTTTTTCCAGGGAATACGAAATAGCATCTACGACTCTGTGCACTTGGTGTGTGGTTGAGTGAGACGCCCGAAAGCCGAATTGAGTATTTGGAAGGATATTCTTTTGAGTAATGATAGGTATAATACGTTTCAGAATTAATCGTTCAAGTATTTTAGCGAAAAATGGAAGAAGGCTAATTGGTCGATGTGACGATGGAATGTCCGGCGGTTTATTTGGTTTAGGGAACAAGATTATAGTGGAGAATTTCCAAAGTAGAGGAAAATAAGAAAGTCTAAGTGAAGCATTAAATATGTGAGTGATGTGAACGATAGCTCTAGTTGGAAGGGATCTGGCTACTTCCGCAGTAATGCGATCATAGCCCGGTGATTTGTTTAGTGAGTATTTTAGTATGGCATATTTAACATCGTTTGGTGTAAATGACTTGACAGGGAGAGTTAGAGGAAGGGAAGCATTCAGAAACGTTTCTACCGTATTCATATTTTCATTGTCAATTATCTCAGAGTGTGGTTGAAAAGTTTGAGAAAGATGCTCCTTAAAGAGTTCTGCTTTTTCGAAGTCAGAAATGGCAAGGCTGCCATCTGATTTCTTAATAGGGAGATTTGGTGATTTATAACGAAGAATTTGTTTGGTTTCCCTCCAGAGACTACCATCTTTGGGAGTAAGCTTCATTAAGTGATTTTGCCAATCATTTGCCTTAATTTTTGCTAGCATTTTTTTCAAGGAATTGGCCAGGTTATTATAATTTAGTTTATGGGAAGGGAGCCGAGTGCGCTGGAAGAGAGCTCTAGCTCTCCGTTTTTCAACTATTTTGTTACGTATTGTCACAGGTAATGGATCTGATGTGGGCGGTTCTAGAAAAGTACTTGTAGCTGACCAGGCTGCAGTTTGTATAACATTGGTAAGGTTGTGGATCGCTAAATCTATATCGTCGGGAGTTTTTAGTTTAATGTTTAAATGTATTTCTTTATCGACTAGTTCAGTAAATTTGGAATGGTCTGTGAATTTATTAAATAGTTTATTAGATTCTTTATAAGTAGGGGAAGTATTGAGAGTTAAGAGCACTGATGAGTGATCGGAATTTAAATCAAGTAAATTTTTAGTAGTGCTAAATAAGTTATTTGGAATTTTGGTCACAAAAATATCTAGAATGTCAGGGTTTTTCCGGGAAGACGAAGGCCAATACGTTGGATCAGGAGGAGCTAGAACTTTAAATTTTTTTAGATTGGTAAAATTGTACAAGGTGACACCTCGCGGGTTATTCACTCGGCACCCCCACGACTGGTGTTTGGCATTAAAATCGCCGCCTATTATAAAGTAGTTATTGAATGTGCTAAAGTAGTCAGAGAATTTTATGTCCGTAACAATATGTTTAGGGGGTGAGTATATAGCAGCAATAGTGATTGGAGTATTATTTATTTTTAAATTGATAGCACAAGATTGGAGGAAATCTTGGGAAAAACTAGGCAAGGGATAAAATTCTATAGTGGATTTAACAAAAATAGCAGCACCACCGTGCGCTGTGTTATCTGGGTGATTTGTTTTAATTAAAGTATAACCAGGAATATGGATATACGAGTATTTTGTGAAGTGAGTCTCGGAAATGAGGGCAATATCAATGCGTTTGTTGATAAGAACAGATTCGAGTTCATGGACATGGTTTTTGAGACCATTAGCGTTAAATTGTAATATTAGGAGCGAGTTGTCAGTGACGGAATTATTATAATTATTGGCCATTATTTGTCGAGGAGCTTGGAAATTACTTTAGTTAATAGAGCTATAAGTGGATTAATTAATGTTTTAAATTCATCTAGAAAACTGGACATTAATTTGTTTAAATCAGGAGGATGAGTTGCATTGATAGGAGGTGAAGTGTCGTTAGCAGGAATGTTGGACGTAGCCTGAGCGTAAGTTTGCGTTTGTG